AGCAACATAACAAAACGTGAAAAAAATGAAGGGGTATGAATATTTTCGCAAGGCACTGTACCTGTTTCTCCAACAGTGGGAGATGTGGTGGTTCTGCTTATGATGCAGAAATGACACTTCACCTCTAGAATGTGATATCTATAATTCCCATGTTCACACATACCAGGCGAATCAATAAAAAATCATACATCATATCTAGGGTTGGGCCGATAAACGATGCCATCGTCCATCGCCGATGGCTGACAGACATCACGATGTTAAGCTGGCATCTTGATCCCCCCCCACCCCACCCCCTCTCCCGCAATTCGCCACATCCCAGTTCCGTGTTCGGAAAGGAAATGAAGTGTACTACGGAAACCCTAAAGGGAATAAATAGCCTACGAGATGGGAGGATAAAAAAATATTTGAATACTTTTTCTCGCAATTATATCGTTGGATAAGTATAGGTGATTGTATATAAATTGCGGGCATCAGGGAGCCGCTATTGAAACCGCTTTCGATTGCGCGCTCTCATTTTACTTTCACTTTCGAGATTCGCAATCACAAGGACTCTATACTATGGAGTGGCAGTACTTACCACACATTTGACAAGATTAGATGTCATCGTCCATCACGATGTTTCACTGCAGACATCGTCCGATGCCAATTTGGTAGACATCGCCCAACCCTAAACATATCTTCAGTGAAGTGTGTAAAGTCTTCGCTGTTGACCACTGTCCTCATTCACACATTTTTTGTCATATAGTATATATTTATACTATGTGCATACAGCACATCCAACATGCTAGAAATAGATCAAAACTGTCAAATCTCACAGTATCTGGTTGACACAACTAAGCAGCAAGAAGCAGAAATGTTTTTATATCGCTTTCACATTCCTCTGTTTATTTCCATTTGGCAGGATTATTTTTCATGATGTCTCTTCACTCTCGCACTCACTTAACTTGCTTTTGCCAAGCAACAGTATGTGTATAGTCCAAAAATAAACTCTTACACATCGCAGTCAAGTCTGCTGCTGTGAAACTCTAGACTAAGGCGTCACTTGTTTTGTGGCTACCTTTGCTTTTCTAATTTTTGCTTAGTAAGCATATACACAGTGTCATTTTTGTAGATAAATATTTATATAAATTTTAAATACATAATTTAATTACATATATAAATATTAAATACATTTGGTCAAAAAATACAATTGTATTTAATCATATAAAATCATATCATGTTTTATCCTGCTCTTTGCTGTTTTGTCTATTTAGTGTTTAATATGGGGGCTTAGAAAATGAAGATTTATATTTTATTAAATAATCAGTATGTCATGTAATTTATTCATTTATTTTTTTTATTTAAATGAATTAAATTCATTTTTAAAATTTTTAATCAATTACCAGCCCAATATAAATCGAAATGTTTCTCCTTCTTTGTGCCTCTTTCCCTCGCTAGTGTTTTATGAACTCCATCCTCCAGTGTCTTAGCAACACACAGAGCCTGCGAGACTACTGTCTTCACAACTACCACCGCCGAGACCTCAACAACAACAACCGCACAAACACTGCTCTCATGGAAGGTGAGTGCGCTCGCACCACACAACTCTTGCAGGTTTCACAGTGGTCACTGCTTCTCTCTGATAAACCACAAACCTTACTGAAAGCCTCTCTTTGTCATGACTTCAGAGTTTGCCAAGCTTATCCAGACAATGTGGACTTCTTCAAGCAGTGAAGCTGTCAGCCCCTCTGAGTTCAAAACACAGATTCAGAGATACGCCCCCAGATTTGTGGGCTACAAGTAAGTCTCAGCCTACATGCAGTTTTATTCTGTTCAAAGTGGCCATCTTAGTATCATAGCAGCAGGTTTTGCACAGACAAGCACCACTCACATCGAATATTTTAAATTCAGAAAATATTAAATAGTATGTCGTTTTAATTGAATATTTGTGACCTCTGCTGGCAAAATGAGTCACAATGAGCAAATTTTCAAACGAGTTATTTTTGTGTTCACATTCTCCATTAAAAGACCTTCAGAATGATGTATGATTTATTGGAATCGGATGAAAAATGACCGAGCTACACCTGTTTGAAGTCGATAGAGTCAGCACGTTCCAAAGCAAAATCACAGAGCAACGTTGCATCTTTTCCTCCAATTCTTTTCTTTCCGACTCATTTTGCCAGCACGGGTCACATTTATCAGGTTATCGACCAATACATGAATATAATTGCCTGATTATTTGAACATAAACCAAGGAAACATTTCTAATATTCATATAAGTTTAAGTTTTCCGTGCAATATTTATATTTTATTTCAGCATTATTTCGAATAACAAAAATTATTTTGAATAGTTTCATCTAACAATATACACTGCAATATACACAGATCCGAGAGCTTTGGGTTACCATTGTGCTCCATTACTAAACATAATTCTGCCGTGCCTCTGTCTGTCCTCAGATCTGTTTGTAGGCCAGCTGAAGAGCTCTTTGACCTGCAGTGAATGTGGCTATTGTTCCACTGTGTTCGATCCCTTCTGGGATCTTTCCTTACCTATCGCCAAGGTCAGTTCATTGACATGTGCATGTACATGCAGGCTTTATAATGCACACTTAGGACATTTGGAGAAATGAGTGGGTGTTAATGGTGTTCCTCTGCCTAGAAGGGCTATGGAGAGGTGAGCCTAATGGACTGCATGCGACTGTTTACTAAAGAAGATGTGCTGGATGGGGACGAGAAGCCGGTAATTCATTTCATTCATTCCTGCCATTTTAATAATGTGGAAATTTATATGTACCGAAACATCTAATTGTTCTTCTCTGTTTTCTTTCATCCAGACATGTTACAGGTGCAAAGCCAGAAGACGATGTACAAAGAAATTTACAGTTCAGAAGTTTCCTAAAATACTAGTTCTTCGTATCCTTTTCCAATGCCGTCTGATCTCTTGATGTCACTTGGGGCATCGGTGCGTTTGTTGACAGTAAGCACAGATAAGATCGGGACACTGTTTATGTGTGCAGGAATGTGCTGATGGCTTAGGTTGAAGCCTGAAGTGACGGGTCTCTCTGAGGTCAGCTGTGTGCCAAGTCTCTTCTCCTTAACTGCTTGACTTGTTCAGATCTGAAGCGCTTCTCGGAAGCCCGCGTCAGAACCAGCAAACTGTCCACTTTTGTCAACTTCCCAATGAAAGACCTGGATCTCAGGGAGTTCGCCTCTGACAGAAGCAGTGAGTAAAGACAGACCAAGAATCTGCCATTTCAGTCCTAGAGTGAATGTGCAGCTGTACTTGGCATGAAACGTTATAGCTCTTATTGTGAAAGATTCATCCATGCATATGTTTTGTTTAAACAATGTTTGACCTTAGAATTTTTCATTCAAATACCATAACTGGATCTTCTGGTGAAATTTCTCTCTGGTATATGTAGGCCTGTCGCAATAATCAAAAGTGGCCATCTTAGTATCATAGCAGCAGGTTTTGCACAGACAAGCACCACTCACATCGAATATTTTAAATTCAGAAAATATTAAATAGTATGTCGTTTTAATTGAATATTTGTGACCTGTGCTGGCAAAATGAGTCACAATGAGCAAATTTTCAAACAGGAGTTATTTTTGTGTTCACATTCTCCATTAAAAGACCTTCAGAATGATGTATGATTTATTGGAATCGGACGAAAAATGACCTAGCTACACCTGTTTGAAGTCGATAGAGTCAGCACGTTCCAAAGCAAAATCACAGAGCAACGTTGCATCTTTTCCTCCAATTCTTTTCTTTCCGACTCATTTTGCCAGCACGGGTCACATTTATCAGGTTATCGACCAATACATGAATATAATTGCCTGATTATCAGTAGCTGGCTGTGGTTGTGTTATGTATTGAGATGTTTATGTTATCTCTCAAGTCAACAGGATGCTCAGGAGTTTCTGCGTTTCCTGCTAGATGGCCTGCACAACGAAGTGAACAGGGTCACAGTCCGGCCTCGGGGAAACATGGAAGACTTTGATCACTTGCCGTAAGTGTACTGTCCTTATTTTCCTCAGTGTGGGTAGTCCTTAAATGACATGTTGTGAGTGTGATTTCATGATTTATATGTCTTGTTAATTTTCTTTAGTGATGAGGAAAAAGGGAAAAAGATGTGGGCTAAGTACTTAGAAAGAGAAGACAGCAAAATCGTAGGCAAGTATACACTACACTAGTGTTATTTTAGTATTATTTGTATATCAAAGATGCTTTTATATTTTGAATTTGTTTTATTTTAATTTAAGTAATTTTGTTGTTGTTATTATTATTTAAATATATATATATATATATATATATATATATTTACTGTAATCCATCCGGATGTTTAATTTGTTGTGTGTGTGTATATATATATATATATATATATATATATATTTCTTTTTTTCTACTTGTTACTTTGCACTTTTTGTTAGAAAATGTTTATTTACTATTTATTCAGTTTTTAAAGGAATCTAATATTTTGATCATTTCCATGATCTAAATATTCTTAAAAATTTAAAGTTTGATGTCATTTGGAAGTGTGTAGGCCTTCTTGCATTTGGTATAGTCATGAGGTGCTAGTTCAAATTTAAAAATGCTTTTTTTCTACTTGTTACTTTGCACTTTTTGTTAGAAAATGTTTATTTACTATTTATTCAGTTTTTAAAGGAATCTAATATTTTGATAATTTCCATGATCTAAACATTCTTAAAAATTAAAAGTTTGATGTCATTTGGAAGTGTGTAGGCCTTCTTGCATTATTATGCTGTTACATTATGATTATATATTCAGTGGCATAAAATGGTCTTTAAAATGACAATAATATCGCTTATCGCAATTATTTCTGGGGCAATATATCGCACAACAAAAAGTTGTTATCGTGACAGGCCTAGGTATATGCCAGACTTAGTCCACTTAAACGCCTCCCCTTTCTTACAATCAAATCTGCCTCCATCCGATCAACAAGTATGTCACAGTACAGAAAAAAAAAGATCCGTCACTGCTTAAGGTTCATAGTGATTTTAGCATAGAAAATTACTTCACAGTCTAGAACAGGGGTCGCCAGCTGGCGGCCTCTGGTCCGAATCTGGACCGCGAGATGCATCCATCCGGACTGCGACAGCTTTTGATATAATGAAATAAATAAATGCCAAATGCTGTTTTCTAATAAAATAAAATTTATATCAAGCACATCAAGGTCAGCTCAGTAGAGCTGTTTCGATCCTACGGCGCCACGAGTTGCTTCTACAGTTAAAGGGATAGTTCACGTTCAGTTGCTGGTCCCCATTGACTTGCATAGTGGTTTTTTTTCCCATACTATGATAGTCAATGGGGACCAGCAACTGAAGGTGAACTATCCCTTTAACTGTTGCTACGTTCAGACATGCAGTCGTGCGTGCAGTGAAGATAGCAGAAAGCGGCGCACAGACAGATGAAACTTTCATTGAGTGAAAAACAAAGGCATTCTCAAAAATTAGGAAAGTTGAGGGGTCCTTAAAAAGTCTTACATATAGTTGATTCAAATTTAAGGCCATAAAAAGTCTTAAATGGTACAAGAAACTTAATTATGATTTCAGAAGGTCTTAAATTTGGGGACTGAAAGACAAGAATTGCAATATGGCTTAATGTGATGATTAAACTTCAAAAGGCTGTGATTTCATTAAATAAATATGAGCACTGCACGTTTCAAAGTCAGGTGCTGCGCTGCTTTGTGTACTGCCATTACCGGGAGATGGTCCTCACTGTAGAACACAAGATCCAGGGGGCGTGGTTGGATCCAGATCCAACTCCTCCCACCTTACATATACCTAAACCTACCCATCTCCCACCCCCTGATCCCTAAACCCACCCATCTCCACCCCGAAACCTACCAGTCTCCACCCCCTAGATGTGGATCCAACCACGCCCCCTGGATCTTGTGTTCTGCAGTGAGGGGCTACTGATTACCGGAGAAACCGCTTGATTTCTGCCATTCCGAAAGCACCACCTGCTGGCAGAGAATGAATGGGCATTTTAAATAAGCCAGTCTGCTGTTTTTGTTCAGAACCAATGTGAAAATCGACCCATGTTCTTACTCAGCAAACACGCGGAGTTGTAAATGTGAACTGATAAATCGACAAGAAGATAATTCATTATAAAAATGTAAACAATTAAGACAGTAAAATATATGTATATGTCCTTTAATTAATATAGTAATTGATTGATAATAGTTGTTTAAATTAATATAATAATTGATAGTTTCAACTCCATTTTCTTTAAAAAAATAAATGGTTTAAAGGCTGAAATTATTATTTTTTTTTTTTTGTGTGTGAAATTGTTCACAAATCTGAACTGTAAATCATGCTTTTTACAGTCATTTTAATTTTATTTGTGCCGGTCTTAAAAAAAGTCTTAAATTTGACCTTAAATATCCTGCAGATACACTGGTCTGACAAAAACCGTTAATTCATGTTTTTAGGTATACCGTATTGACCCGAATATAAGACGATGTTTTTTTCTTGGAAATACATCTGAAAAAACGCGGTCGTCTTATAT